CAAAGTGTCGATTGGTTAGAAATTATCATCCCCTTGTGAAATATTTGACCAATCAGAGAAAACCTATTTTTTCGAGTCTAATTTCAGGGAAAAATTTCTCATGGAAATCCACAGATATCGACTTAGAGCAACAGAGATGCGATTCTCTCCAAGCCGTTCAACCATAAGACAAGGCCTGACTAGCTAGCTTTTCTTCCCCTCAACACTATCGCGTGCTGTACGAAACATATGTTGGTAACTTCAAACGAATCATCTTCAAACAACAACAGCAGGAATGACCAGTAAATCTTCGCTGAAGATTAAATTCTTTTCTCAACTACAACTTTGACTGTAGACCAACTACTGATTGGAATTTCGAACCGAGCCTTTCATTTCGTCCACCTGTGTAGATTGTTCTAGTTCCACGTGCCATGCCTCTTCAGGATATCCCAGTTTCATTTATTTCTCTTTAGTAATTCAGCTCTTCACGTTTTTGCTCACCTCCGCTGTGGCCAGGGATTGAACTCACAAATCTTTCGGTAAAGTCACTGGATTAATTCAACCAACGCTTTTATTCACTGGCCCATGTGTCCTTGGTTCGAAATTCCAACGTATATCACCTGAAGAAGGCCGTAGCATACAACGGCCGAAACGTCGTAAAAGATAAGGGCAATAATCCAAACAATGTAAATTGTGTAAATAGGAAGAAATTAGATTCAAATTAGAAATTATTAAAACATATTTTATTAATTAATCAGTTTTAGATAGAATAAAAACAACTTTTTAGCAAAAATTATTAAGATATGATATCCCTCCTGTGTGAACAATAAATTAAAATAACAATTTATTTACCTTATACACCTTTGTGCAAATTAAATGAAACAAAACGAATAATTCCGTTATTATTTACCTTTTTTCATATTTTTCCAATGAAACATGACACAGTGCACGTGTTAGTACTTCGTATGTCCATTCCACAAAGTCTTTCTTTGCAGATTGACACATATTTACCAATCAAGAGAGTTTCCGAGCCAGTCGATAGTAATTTAAATTGCTTACTGGTAAGGCTTACTATTGTGTTCGTGCAGTGTTACAGTTTTCGTACGCAGACAATGGCCGTAGGACAACTAATCGAAAGTCGAGACAACAGTGTCTGGGTGTGATGAAAATCTGATGCCATCACAATATTTTTCAAGTTCAAACAATTTTTATCATACACTCCGAAAATAGATTCATATTACTGCACATCACTGCAAATGATCTAATCTGAGGAAAAAATAGAAATCGATTACGCCCTGTCACTTCAGTGGGTCTAAAACTGACCGCATGGCGAAAGAAAGGAAACTAAAGGGGTTGTTTCAATTAATTTACACGAGGATGTAACTTACAGGAAAACGACAAAAAATACACAAAAAGAAAATATCAAAATATTAATCTGAAAATTTTTAGTTCTTAGGTATGTATAGGTATTAAATAATTGGAAATTTTATACCTTTCATTTTAATTATTCAGTAACTCTCCGCCTGGAGTGGCTCTTGAGCCCTTGTACTGTGTGAACAATTAGTAAAAGCGGTAGGAATTGGAAATAATAAGATGAAATGAAAACATCATCGACGCGTTTCTCTTCTTTATAAAGAGGTGGAACATGAAGTGGTATAGATTTTTCATTTTGTCTCATTATCTTCACATTAGTTCTGAAAAGGCAGGAACCTATAATTTCCCTGGAAGTATTCTCAAGAAACATTTGATCAAATTTTTAACTTCATTTTTATATTAACCAAACAACTCCTATTATTTGGGGATCGTCACTCACTAAGTCAGCGTTTCCGAACCTGCGCACTGAGGGCACGCATGCGCACTGAGGGCACGCATGCGCACTGAAAAGCAGCCTGGGGCTGCCCAAGTTAACAGAAGAGTAAATTAGGAATTATTTTTATTTTTAAAAAACTCTTTATTTTTAAAAAGATCGAGACACCAAGCTCGTGGCTTCCACGTCAAAGTCAAGTTTTTGTCATTTGATATTTTAAACTGGATGCGAAATCCCTTAATCTTCAAGTAGTGGATAATCCTTTCCCTCTTGCCTCCCTCAACGGATTTAAATCCATCATTATTGGCCTCTCTAAAAAAAAAAATATATAACAGATTCTTCCTAAATCTCTTTAAATGAAAATTGCACCAGGCGAATATTAAACCAAAATTTCATATTTTCAAATTTCATGACTAATTTTTCCTTATTAAAATTAAAGGTGATTTACTAATTCAGAACTGCGCTCTGAAGTAAAAAGTTGCACCCTGAAGTAAAAAAGTGCATCCTGAAGTTAAAAAAGTGCATACTGGAGTAAAAAAAGTGCACCCTGAATTAAAAACGGGCACCCAGACGTAAAGAAAAGTCCACCCTGAAGTAAAAAAAAAAAGTGCACACTGAAGAAAAAAAAGTGCACACTGAAGAAAAAAGTCCACCAGGAAGTAAAAAAAGTGCACCCTGAAGTAAAAAGTTGCACGCTGAAATTAAAAAAAAGTGCCAACTGAAGTAAAAAGTGCATCCTGAAGTTTAAAAAGTGCACCCTGGAGTAAAAAAAAAGTGCACCTTGAAGTAAAAAAGAGTGCACCCTGGAGTAAAAAAAAGTGCACACTGAAGTAAAATAGTGCACCCTGAAGTAAAAGAATGCACCCTGAAGTAAAAGAGTGCACCCTAAAGTATAAAAGTGCACCCTGAAAAAAAAGTGCACCCTGAAGTAAAAAAAAGTGCACCCTGAAGTAAAAAAAAAGTGCACCCTGAAGTAAAAAAAAGCGCACCCTGAATAAAAAAGGTTGAGAAAAGCTGACTGAGATTTTTGAGCTTTAACTCTGAAATAATTCACGTTATTGCACTGTTTACGCTCATGGCAGATGGCAAAAATCACATGTCTTATTACTTATTTAAGAATTTCAGTCAATATGAGTTTTAGACTGATGCATCTCCACGAGTGGCCAGGCTACTGGCGGGTGGGGTGTTTTTTTATTGAAACACCATCACTAGTTGGATTATCCATTAAGTGACGGCATGTGGATTTGTAGCCCAAACAGTTTCATCGACACAATTTCACATCACAAGGCCTGGGGTCAACTCGTCGTATGGTTTTGCAGAACTTCCTAACGGCGCTGCTCGCCGGGATCATCTCCCCAGGCTGATAATAATAATAATAATACATCACCCTGATAAATTCCCCCCTCTGTAAAATTCAAACACATGTAGTTGGAATGTTAACATTTTAACAACTTGGCCATGCACCCATAAATATAAATTATAATAAACTACCATCTAAATTATGATACATGATTAGATAAAATCTGATAAATGACCATATAAATGATATGATACATGATTAGATAAAATTTGATAAATGAGCATATAAATGATAAGTGGCTATATAAATTATGATACATGATTAGATAAAATCTGATAAATGACCATATAAATGATAAGTGGCTATATAAATTATGATACATGATTAGATAAAATCTGATAAATGACCATATAAATGATAAGTGGCTATATAAATTATGATATATGATTAGATAAAATCTGATAAATGACCATATAAATGATAAGTGGCTATATAAATTATGATATATGATTAGATAAAATCTGATAAATGACCATATAAATGATAAGTGGCTATATAAATTATGATACATGATTAGATAAAATCTAATAACTGATCATATAAATAATTAAATATAAATAATGATACATGATTAGATAAAATCTTTAAAAAATGTGTACATAAGTAATAATTGATCATATAAATTTTAATGACCATATAATATCTAGTAAATAAACATCTAAATGTATGGCTTTTCAGACACTTTCCTGTCCAATATTATCAAGACGTTATCTTAAGTAACTGACCATGGTGAGTTACAAACTCAGATTTCTAATCATTCGAACTGGTGCCCATTAAACTCAGAAGTAGTTTTAGTTTAAACTTAGTCTAAGTAGAAAAAAAGAAATAAAAAAACGAAAAGAAATTAATTCATGTCTCTATCTGGACTCATTAATTTGGTCCCTGCCCTAACACTTAAGCTAATCTCTCTCCCGATAGCTTCAATTAAAACAAAAACATTATTTTTTAAAGCAAAAGCTAGTTTTCTATTAATACAAATTTTTAGAAAAATAATTTAAAAATGAATAATCGAGTGGTCAGTCAGGTTCAATTTAGCTCAGAAAAAAACGTTCGCATTTGATTAAGCCAAACAATCGATGTTCATTTCAACATTGATTTTTACAATCTCAAAATACAGTGGCACAATTAGAATCTTTAATTCAGTAACATTCACCAAGTTTCGCATCCTGAGTCAAATCTAGTCTGGAAATATTTTGCCTGTGTTTTAGCCTTTGTTCTCATCAAAAACAAAATAATTCACAGATCTCCGACATTCATTTTGTTTCAAAAATATACATTAACTCTCACCTTTCTCATCGTTTGGCTAAAACAGATTAGTTTGAGTGCCGATAATGACACAAACTGGAAAAACTTGTTCGGACAACACGTTTCGTCTCCTTATTACAGGCGTTTTCAAATATATCTGGTTACAATTTCGATCTATTAAATGCCAGTCTGGTTAGAAGTGAAAAGAATTCACTAAGAAAATGCATTGAAAGTGCACTGATCTCTGAATTCTCTACAGTCAACCAGAGACGGGACTCATACAATATCACAAAAGCAATAGTAACACAATGCGGTATACAAACTTCCTTCCTCAGGTGCCATGTGTGACGCACGCTTGGACAATCTGACTTGACAGAAGAATTTCCACAGTAGTCTACTGTTACATTCTGAAGTAAACTGGTTGCCAACCAAGGCTATAGGACCCATTCTATCCAGTTATGTAATGCATAACTGGAGAGCGAAGAGACGGAATTGTAGATTTTCCAAGGATATTTGCGCGTAAGTGATTGCAACGAACTAAAATTCGAATTCAGTTCAACGATTTTTCATTCCGAGCCGTTATCCATCACACCATCTGCACATCCAAGTCTACAACACCTGGTATTACCAAGCGGTCACCCATCAAAGTATTAACTAGGCTCAACATTGCTTAACTGCGATGATAGGACGAGAATTGGTTGTTTCAACATGATATGGCCGGTATATGAGCTTCTACTATGTGCGTGTCACTTCAGGGCGTAGAAACCACGGCCCTCCACAACTTCATGTCATTCGTAGCTCTAATTAAATTGAGCCCTTATGCTATTTCTCCAAAACTTTGTTCACCAATCCATTTAATCAAACTTGCTAGGAAGGTTTTGCATTGTTTTCTTCTGTCCCTCTTTCATGCAATATGCCCTGTGAGTATCACATTTTCCAAGCCTTCTTTCCTTATTATGTGCCCTAGAAATATCAACTCTTTCTTTCTGATGTTAAATATGAATGTCCTTTTTGTTTCCATTTTCTCTAAAACTTCTTAATTGCTCACATGTTCAGTCCATGGTATTTTCATCATCCTTCTGCAGAACTTCATTTCTTCTTCATCGCTGATAAGATTGTCCACTATTCACTACCATATAGGAGGAAATATATTACATAACAGTTCAGTACTCTTTTCTTTGTTTCTAATTAAATTTTTCTGTTTCTTAATTCTTTGCTTGGCTTTTGGAAGGCATCTTTCGCTTTCTCAATGCATCTACGGAATTTTGATTTTGTTATCTCCAATTGGTACTTTGAATATTGAGCTGTCTTTTTGGGGTCTTTTTTTTTTGGGGGGGGTTCTAACAACCATGCATTTTGAGTTTAGTCTTTTCTTCTCGCTTTCCTTCACTACCTTTTGTAGGAGTTCTTGTAGTTTCCTTTCTGTGTCTGCTACCAACATAGTATCATCTGCATATCTTATGATGCTAAGATTCTGGCCGACATCAATAAATAAATCCTGATATAATTTCGAATTGCCTAACTGTATAGGCTGAATAAGTCCGGTGAGAAGATGCATCCTTGTCTTACACCCCTTTCTGTTTTTGTATATTTTCTGAATTCATTTTCTATTCGCATGCAGACGGTTTATTGACAATATAGGTTCTGGATTATTCTATTATCCTTCCCAAATATTTCAAGGTTACCAAGTATAACACCGAGTCTGTGAGGTGGTTAAACATTAATTCTAAGCAGAAAAACGGTTAAGCCTAAATTGAAATATAAACTGTAAGATAGAGATATAGAAAGAGAGAATGGAAGACGCTTCCCCTAGTAATGTGGATGTGAAGAAAGGGCTTTCTGGGTTGCCTCATCCCTACGAATTGGAATGATGCACCAAGAGTTTACTTTTTTTATCTATCGAAAATCTAGCATGCTGGTAGAGCAAATTTGGAAATGGCTTTATCTCTTTCTTGGAAAATTAGAAAAACACATGTCATTGTCGAATAGAGAAACAGGCGAGAATTATATTTTCGTTAGCGAAAACGAATTGAGAAATGAAAACAGAGTATGAACCCGCTGTGAAGGTCCTAGTATCGCAGCACTGATTCAAGCCGTGGTGAGTGCTATATTAATGAAGAAAAATATCTTCACAACGAAAAATAAAACGAGAGATTCGTGGGATCAATCTTCAATTGGTTTATATAACTCTTGGTACACCAAAAATGAACCCTTCCCGCATCAATCTCTATACTGACACTGGGACTTGCCTAAACTTCTGGAGGAACTGGTTTCAAAGTCTTGGAACAAGAACTCTGGTGGCAGATGACTTGAACCAGCGCTGCGATACCAGGACCTTCAATTTTCCACTGCTCTGAGATCAAGAACGCAACGTGGGCAGAGTTGGTGTGGATCGAAGCGGTCAGCGACTAACAACCATCTTGGACTAGTGTCAGCATTGACCAGCGCAGAGTTAGCCCTGTGATTAAAACGTTGTTCTAAGACCTTGAGGACTGGACAATTAAACGTGCTTCAACCACTGCATGTAGACAATGGCAGTAGATGTTATAAAAATACAGAAAGATAATTGCAAATGCAAATTACTAATGTCCCACCATGAGGGCATGAACAAAATGACAGAAGCATTCCATAAGATTTATAGTAAACTATTTGATTAATTTCTCTTACTAACTAATCAACTGGCAGAAAATTTCAAGTTGAGCACGCTCCCTATCATGTTACTCACGTTTAAGTTGCATTTCATTCACGCTGGCTGCGTTTCATTCGCTTTAATGTATTAATTTCTAGTACAACCGTTTTTCTCAAGGAAAGCGATGGTTGTACATAGACTTGTATTTTTTAACATATTTTTATTCTTGTAGCCAATTTTCAAACATAACTTGAAGAAGCTAGATATACACTCGAAATAATGTTAAACTGCAAATTTATTGTTCTACTCAAATGAGTCGGGCAGTAGAAAGGAACAAAACTAAGGGCTAACCAATCCCTTACTATCTATCTATTTATAAACAACCAACTTGAACCAGTGTCAGCATTGCCCAGCGCAGAGTTGGGCCCATGGTTAAAACGTTGTCCTAAAACCCTGAGGATCGGACCAATAAACGTGACGCTATATTAAATGGCGACTGTGCCCAAGGATGCGACCATGTTGGCAGGTGATGTTGGCAGGTGATGATGTTGGCAGGTGATGTTGGCAGGTGATGTTGGAAGGTGATGTTGCCAGGTGATGTTGGCAGGTGATGTTGGCAAGTGATGTTGTCAGGTGATGTTGGTAGGTGATGATGTTGTCAGGTGATGTTGGCAGGTGATTAGGCAGGTGATGTTGGCAGGTGATGTTGGCAGGTGATGATGTTGGCAGGTGATGTTGGCAAGTGATGTTGGCAGGTGATGTTGGCTAGTGATGTTGGCAGGTGATGTTGGCAGGTGATGTTGGAAGGTGATGTTGTCAGGTGATGTTGGCAGGTGATGTTGGTAAGTGATGTTGTCAGGTGATGTTGGTAGGTGATGATGTTGTCAGGTGATGTTGGCAGGTGATGTTGTCAGGTGATGTTGTCAGGTGATGATGTTGTCAGGTGATGTTGGCTGTGATATTGTCAGGTGATGTTGTCAGGTGATGTTGTCAGGTGATGTTGGCAGGTGATGATGTTGTCAGGTGATGTTGGCAGGTGATGATGTTGTCAGGTGATGTTGGCTGTGATGTTGTCAGGTGATGTTGTCAGGTGATGTTGGCAGGTGATGATGTTGTCAGGTGATGTTATACCTAACAGTTCTAACTGTTCTTTATTGTGTATTTTATTAAACGCTTTTGATAATATCAATATAAACAAAATTGCACGAAAATGTTTTACCTGTATTTAGTATTTATTTATACATTCATTAATCCACTAGTAGAATAAGTCAATTACTAGTGTCTTAATGAGTAATTTAGGTAAACAAATATATATTAATGAGTGACTACTGTGGAACCTGTCCAGGTGATCTGTTAGACTTGATAATCCCTTCCCGACAAAAAAAAAGACGGCTAATCGGGCAGAAAGGTCATAGTGTAGAACTTGAACTTTTAAAGATAGATATGAACAGACTGAGATTAAGAGAGAGAGGGAGAGAGAGAGAGAGAGAGAGAGAGAGGGTGGATAGAGAGAGAAAGTGAGGGAGAGAAAAGAACTGCTTGAAATAAGATGTGAACAGACTACTATGAACAGACTGAGATATGAACTAGATAGATAGATAGATAGATAGATAGATAATGAAGAGAATGAGATAGATAGAAAAAAGAAATGAAGAAGCTGAGATAGATAGGTAAATAGATATGAACAAAATTAGATAGAGAGAGAGATAATAAAGAATTTTACGGTACAAACCCAGCAAAAGTCGATGTTACGAGGGCAGCTATTGAATGAGAATGCGCTCAAATACCAAAGTCTTTCTTGATGTTTGTGATTCCATTGTTTCGCGTCATCAGAACTACTTAAACAAGAACTGCCACCCCTAAAAAGTTCTCTTCGTAGATTCTATAAAGGTGTCAAAATGAAATGTATTTTTATAAACAATGATTTTATTTACCATATATATATATATATATATATATATATAGTTAGGTAATGAAAAGTTTGGTAATCCGTATAGATAATCCCAAGTAGAATGTAATCCAGAGAGCTCAATATCAAACCACAGCGAATATTAATTTAATTAAAATTAAAAAAAAAAAAGGCAACCTTAAGGGTCCATTGATTATATTTTATTTCCCCAGGAAAGTGTTTTTTCCTGTTTCCTCAGATCATATTTCCAAGCATAAAATTTTTTTTTATGTATTATTTTTATACGCTTTTGAGGGGTAGTTTTAAGTTGATGTAAGGTGATAGAGAGAGGGGGAGGAGGACGAGAGATATGGTCAAAATTAGAGAAGAAAGGCAGAGATAGGAATAATTATATATATATATATATATATATATATATATATATATATATATATATATGTGTGTGTGTGTGTGTGTGTGTGTGTGTGTGTGTGTGTGTTAGTTACTTCAAAGCTTTATTATAGTGGATACTCCGTAATTAAAGTAGACGCCTCATTCTTATTAATTAAACAATGTCTATTACGTCTATCGGCCTACGCATTCGAGAAATCTTAGTAAGGAAAAATACGTTTCCCAACAGGCATCCAACCTGCGTCCAATTTTGTAGGTTCAATCCCTGCTGGGAAACGCATTTTTCATTACTAAGAATTCTCGAATGTGTAGGCCGATAGACATAATAGACACTGTTTAATTAATAAAAATTCGTCCTCTATTCACTATAATAATGTTTGTAATAATAATAAAAAAATCGGGTTAAAAAAAGAAATAAAAAACTACGGTGCTTTCCTTAATGACCGGAGGAGTCAAGCCCGATTAGTGCTTTGTGACCTTCGTTATAGTATCAAAATTTGCTTTTTTCTACTTAAATTTTCATACTTTAGAAATGAACTATTAAAGGATGAAAAAATTTCGTGAATTTTGACGTCATTCTGGATTATTTTTATCGTTCAAATCCGTGAATTTGTTTTGATCAGGCTAAGTCTTGAAAAGAAAAAAGAAACGTTATAAAATTCATAATTTTTTATCCATAAAGTTGAATGTGTTAAAATTCTTCAACTTTTTAGCAAGAAAAATCTCAAGTTGATGTTAAAAATTACTGCAGAAATTGTTGCTTTATTTAAGACTAGCTTAAAAGCCGCGGGTTTTTAAGCTAGCACCTTGCGGAGGGATGGCACCTCTGAACAATGATAATTTTGAAGAAATAACTTTGAATTCCTCAATCCACTCGATGCAACTTCAAATCTTCAGTTTAACTCCGATTCGGGCTTTAAGTCCAATTCCGATCAAAAGACGGATTTGGGCCAAAACTCTGAACTGAACCCAAATTCCAATTCAGGTTGAAAATTGAGTTCTTCAAATCACAAACTTCGTGGAACTTCAATCAGTGGCTAGCAGGGGGAAGGGTTGCGGTGGTCCCGGGCGGCACTCTCTGAAGGGTTGGGGAGGCACTTCCGATGGAGTATATTATTTTTGCTTTTATTTAGCAAATACACCTAAAATTAGACATTAAAAATAAATAAAATATTTTTAATTTCTCTTTGAAATGTTTATATTTGGCTGCTGGTAATTTGGCCAAACCTGTGAAGAAAATTTTAGATAGGGTCCAAATGATGCCAGCATATTTTTAAAAATATCTCCAAAAAGCTCTGGTGGTGAGGATGGACCTCATTTACACGTGGTGATTAATTTAGGCTGGTCATTAAGTATACCACGAGTTACACCCCCTCCCCCTTAGCTTTTGTGAGCCCCTACTTGATTCCAAAGTTTTTCACACCTATGTGAGAAGTTCAAGACTTTGGCGCCAGTTCTTTAATTTTGATTTTTCATGTCTGTGAATTAGTAGTGAAAAGAAAATTCGAAAGATATGAACAGTGAGTACGGAGATAGAATACCATAAAATCAAAGATTTCTTTAAAAAGATTTTTGGTTATCATTGAAACAGTTACAAATTATTCTAACCGCTGAAGAAAAGTGTTCGAAAAGATTTTGTTGATAAACGTGTGTTATCTGATGTTCTGGGACGGAGAATTAAATTCAATACTCCACAGACTGATTTATAGAAAACCAACATTATTCCCTTAACAAAAAGATGTGATCATTCTTCTACAAAATAGGCTCTAGAAAGCCAAGAATTTTCGAAGGAATGAAATTTGTTTTTTCAGCCAATCAGAATCCTTCTTTTAAAAAATACTGTCTTTTAATAACCATTATGGTTTTTCCACCAAAAATATTTAAGTCCCCAGCCTCCAAGATTATGATAAATTTTCCTGCAAAAATTATTAATAAAAACAAATAAACTATTTTAGAACAAATGAAAATCAGTAATTTGATAATTTCAGGAACCCTATTTTTTTCTCATAGAGAAGTCACTGTAAGTTCTCTATTTATGAAGAAAAAAAAGACCTCCCATGCGAAACATGTTACACACAGACACACACTATTCATCACATGACGATCTTCTTAACAAACACCTTACGAATTTTTATATTTGAATAATACAGAAGCACATTACTTGTTATTATTTTTCTGATGTAATGGAATAACCTGTCATCCCGATGAGTGACTACCCTACAGATAGTAACTACCTATAAGTAGCTGTAAGTCAACGGACTAGAGTAGAACTGGAAACTTTTCCAGCTGTGCTGGTCAAACTCTCTGCCTCCGAGCAGAGAAGATCCCCAGACGTGGCTATGACGAAGGGCAGAGTCTCGTCTCGGGAAACAGCTACTCGACCCCGTTTTATGCGGATTCTACGGGAATTTTTGGCTGAGACTACGGGCTCGGATACTACACATTAAATTCGGCCTTGTGTTGTATCTGATCGCGTAGGGAGGTTAGTAAATACTCTAACTAAACTCTTTTCCAGCTGTGCTGGTCGAACTCTCTGCCTCCGAGCAGAGAGGAACCCGGACGAGACTCTATCCTTGGGCATAGCCTCGTCCGGGGAGGTAGATAGACCCGATCCCGTTTATGCGGGGTCTATGGGGATTCTTGGCCGAGCCTACGGGTTCAGATTGCCCCACATTAAATTCGGCCTTGTGCCACATCCTACCTCGTGGGGAGGATGGTAAATATTGTCTAGCTGGGATCTGTTCCAGCTGTACTGGTCAAAGTGTCTGCTTCCGAGTAGAGAGGATCCCCAGACGAGGCTCTATGGCGAAGGGTAGAGTTTCGTCTCGGGCAAAGACTACCCGACCCCGTTTTATATGGGAAATTTTTGGCTGAGACTATAGGCTCGGATACTACATTAAATTCGGTCCTGTGCCATATTTGATCACGTGGGGCGGTTAGTAGATATAGTAACTGGGATCTGTTACTCAGATCTTAGCTGTTGTCGAACTCTCTGACTTCGAGCAAAGAGGAAGCCGGACGAGGCTATGCCGAAGTGCACAGTCTCGTCCGAGGAGGTAGACAGACCCGTTTATGCGGCGTTTACGGGGAATTTTTGGCCGAGCCTACGGGCTCAGATTGGCCCACATTAAATTCGGCCTTGTGCCACATCTGATCGCGTGGGGCGGTTAGCAAATATACTAGCTGGGATCTGAACTCGGCTCTGAGCTGTTGTCGAACTCTCTGTCCGAAGGCAGAGAGGAACCCTGACGAGGCTATGCTGAAGGGCAGTCTCGTCCGGGGAGGTAGACAGAGCCGAATCCGTTTATGCGAGGTTACAGGGAATTTTTGGCCGAGCCTACGGGCTCAGATTGGCCCACATTAAATTCGGACTTGTACCACACCCTACCCCGTGGGGAGGTTGGTAAATATTACTAGCTAGGATCTGTTGAGTACGACTCAGACTTACGCAAGAACTACCGACCTTCCAATAGTAGCACTCACTACTGAATTGACTTGCGACGACCTTGTGCATAACTGTTACCTTTATTCTTATTGTACTGGTTTTTTACAATAAACCTTTACTTATTTTATCCACCTTGTTTTTCAAGTATATGTTCCTATTAGCACGGAATATAACAGTTTCCAAAAAAAAGAGAACTTCATAAACTTTCTTTTGCCACTCAACTTTGAAATTATTAAATAAAATTTGTCTAATTTCTAAAATGTGTTAATCTATCTTATTTAAACAATCTCTTTAACTGATTGTGATAAATCTTTGTGAACAATGGAATCTGAGCAAAAGAAAATAAACTAAGTATAGTGTTGCGATTTGGGGGGGGGAGATAGGGGGAGTCAGTCACAATCCTCACCCCGGGCACTACCAGACCTCTGCACGCCACTGACTTCAATTGAATTGAGTTCTTCAAATCAAAAACTCTTGTGGAACTTCAAAACCTCACGTTACGAAACTCTGACTTTAATTCTGATTTCTTGAAGAGAGAAAATTGATTTTTGGAGATATTTCAAAGTGAATTTGAAACAAATTAGAAACAAAAGTTTTAAATTCACAAAGTTTCATGTTACTTTAAAAACTCCATATGAATTAAAAAAAATTTAAAATCACTAATTTTTTTCAGTTATTTTAAAATTTGAATGTTTAACTGTTCCCTCATCCGGGCACAAATCCCAATGCTGGATGTTCAAGCACCAGATCAAGGGCAGATTTTTAATCCCGGGATCATCCTGATTCCAAATAAGTATAATATGTCTATGTAGAGCAAGTGCGGATCATGTTAAAGGGTGGGTTCCAGACACATGAATGGACAGACAGAATTTGCCGTTTCTTTATTTAAATGGAATCAGCTATTATGACATGTCTCTAATTTGCATTTAGATATCGATTTTCTAAGCGTAGCTTAGATGTAGCACAAGGCCGAAGGTATGGGGCACCCAATGAGGATCGAACTCACTACTCAGGTGTAATTGTTCTTGCGAGATAAGCTTGCTAACCATTACGCCAGGTCGAGGTAATTTGCGTTTAGATACATTGAATTTATTTTCAATTTTTCTAGTTACATATGATCATTATTGTACATATTTAGGTTACAATAAAATTTGTATTTTATATGAATACTATCTTATGAGAATTGAGATGAGTAGTGGCGGGGGGGGGGGATCATATCATAGATTTGGAGGGAGGGAACACAAGGGGGTCACATGAATGAGATGAAATAGGCGAGATTTAAAAATAAATAATTTTGAAATTCCCAGCATCCCTCGTTCGTGCGCATGTGCACGAACGAGAGATTATGGGAATTTAAAAGATTTATTTATTGTCGGACTTAATCCATTTCATAATATATATATATATATATATATATATATATATATATATATATATATATATATATATATATAAATTCATATGTGATTGAAGTGTTTATCATAGGAACATTTATAATTCATGCAATCAGTCATGTAGTCAAAATTACTTGGGATATATATATATATATATATATATATATATATATACAGAGAGAGAGAGAGAGAGAGAGAGAGAGAGAACATTTACTTAAATTGCTTGGACAATTTTGCTGTTACACTCGCTATGTGTGTGTGTGTGTGTGTGTGTGTGTGTGTGTGTGTGTGTGTGTGTGCGCGCGCGCGTGTATACCAGGTGTAACAGCAAATTTGGCCAAATTGTGTAACAGCAGAATTGTCCATCTCCGAAAATGCTTAATATCTAAAAACCACTAAACTAATTGAGTTTCTTATTTCCGGGTTTTCAGATAAAACGTTTAGCCATCTTTACAGCCTTTGTCGAAAGAATCACTGAAAAACCCTTTGAGTTATTCAGTTAGAAAGAGATCATTTTGTGTCAGACCTACTGTATTCCCAACTGAGTAATGGTGAGAGGAAAAAGATCATTCAGGCCTTCAATAATAATACCAACATTCATACTTTAGCTTCCATCTTCAAAAACCATTCAAGAATCATCAAGAGAACGGTGAATACGTTTTAAAAAGAGGGAACAGTAGAGAGGAAAACTTGGATGAGAAAGTCACAACAGGAAGAGGGATCATCATTTTAACTTAAAGCTAAAGAGATCAATTAGAAAAGATCCAACTCAATCAATAAAATGATTGGCACATGAAGGAGGAGCTTCTGCTATGACAGTCCAAAGAGCAGTGAAAAAGACTTGAAAATGAAATCGTACGTGAAACCTGTGAGGCACCTTATTACTTCAGGTCAGAAAGTTGGAAGGTTAGAAAGGGCGAAGATCATCTTGAATAAGCTGAAAAATGATCCAGGAATTATATATATATATATATATATATATATATATATATATATATATATATATATATATTAAATTTCAATCCTTCATGAGCTTCTAAATCCTTAGCTATAATTAATTAATGTCATTTTAGTTTATGATCGATTTCATCACGATCCTTCTGTTAAGCTCAGAGAGTAATTATACATCCTCAACGCCCCAATTAGAATCCAATAGTCTTATAAAAACCTCGGAGAATTCCAGTAAGATATCTTTAATCATTCCTAAGATATAACGGTCCAGAGCTTAATTTAAGTTTTGCTTTTACACGATTTGTACATGTTTTTCTGTTACACCCGGTATATGATAAAATATAGTATGCTATATTTATGGGCTAAAGTGCTTGATATCAAGGATAGAGCGTATGTAAATAAAAAGTGGTCATTGAAGTCAACATCTTAATGTCTACTGGTGTTGACCTGACATCAATATATATATATATATATATATA